GATGGAGTGACCAGAAGCATTACAGAACGAACAAAACCAAGGGTTACTATTTGTGGCAACAAAAGCAGATCTGCGAGAATTAGACGTTCGGTTATTTCCCACCTGATTGCCAGACGCATAGCTTGCCATGGCGAAATCCATTGTCTCCAATGTTCTGCATCGCTGCTCCAAAAATGATGCCATGGATTCCCACGTCGGAATTATATTGACGACTGCTGGATCCTCTAACCGCTCCTCCCATTTTGCCTGGCTCGCAGGATCTAGCTTTTGAAGCAGGACTTGGACGATGATGCATCCCGCGATTTGTTCTGTCGTGCCCAATCCCTTTAAAGCACGAATATGCGTTAAATTTGTCGGACAGCTCACGAAGCATCGAGACGGAACCACTCTGCACTGCCTTAAGCCCCAGGATCTCAGTAATGTGTGCCTGAAAAACCAAACGACGATTATCAAATCTGTTTTGCAGTAAGTCTAAAGCGACGGAATAATTGCCATCCGAAATTTCCAGCGAGCGGATGGTTTCCAACGCAGAATCCCTTAGACATGAGCGTAGATGTTGCAGCTTTTCAATGTTGGTCAGGTCAGGATGACTATCTATGATGGTAGTAAACATAGAATAGAAATCTGACCAATTCGCATAACCTCCAGCGAATTTCGGAAGTTCAAGAACGGGAATCGGAATCTCTCGGCGCAAAGCTTCCGCGGCTGATGGCCGAAATGACCGGGCGTATTGCCATCAGCAAAGGCTGAGTGCTGAAGCAGTTGCGAGGAGCGCTTTGTGATCTCCGATCGAACCGTCGACTTCAGAATTACGACGACATCATCAAATTTCTCCTCCAAGTCATTTCCAATTTCCTCAAAATCCAATTCTTCCAGCTCGTTGAGAACCTTTTTAAACGCCTTTTGAAGCTCCTCGATAAGTTCCAACCTCACATAAAGGCCAGAATCGTCAAAAGAATTCAAAGCCGAACTTGAAAGGGATTCCATTAACCGCCTTGCGCTTCAAAAATGTCACCCTGTTTGAATTGCGATTGTCGGTGACGCTAACCGAATTTTCTGAAGCCATGTTAAGCAGCAACAACAACAAAATAAATGCAGCAGATTCGGCGGGCAAAATTCGGCTTCAGCGGGAAGATGAGCGCAAAGGAGAATGCGAAAAATTGGTCCGCTGCTGGTCTTATTATTATTTTCACAAATCAATTTATAAATATTTGTGTTGTTTATGACAGGTAAACGCACAATGTAGCTGCAACACAGATAAAGCAAAATATGCAGCCTGGTAAAATAAATTAATTTTTGTGACTTGCACTGAGTCCCTTTTATGAACAAATCACGTCGGGGTCACCAAATGTTGAGCTAATAAGCTTTTTTATTAGCTGTTGAAGTAATTATGCACGAAGAAAATTTTGTTTTCGAATTCTGTAGCAGCGATTTTATTTTCGACGAAGAAGAGTTACAAATGGTCCGCGGGATCGAAAAGAAGTAATACAATAAAAAATTGAGACGCGGATCAGCCGATTGCTGACCCAAAGTAGAAGCCGACAAGCAACGAGAGAGAGCAAATAGAAAGATAAAGAGAGAGCGAGAGCGATGGTAATTATGCAGATAAGCTAAGAGCTAGCATTAAGAGATCCTAAATATCTGCTGCGGCTGGATGACCCGACAAATAGTTTTAAGAGACAGCCTTGAGAAAAGGCTGAAAGGCTAAAATTGAATACGGCCTGCCTATATTTGGGTGGACTGCAAGTCAGCATATAAGACTACTTAGACCTGGCTATCACACTGCTGTTAGACGTAGCATCAATGCATTTCCAACATCACCAATAAAATGCATCTTAGCTGAGGCCGGGCTTCTGTCTATTGAAAACCTGGTAACTCTTTTGCTACCCCAACAAACTCCTGCAAAGCGAATTGCGAAAAATTGTTAAGCAACGCAGTCCGCCCTTCGGCGTTGCTTTGCACTTGCGAAGCATTTAAACATCCACCTGCCGCCCACCAACCATAAACTTCCTTCACCACCATGGCTACTACGGGACTCCGCCATTTAGACGGGACTTCAAAAACTTCCCAAGGATATCACCCCTGGAGAGTCCTACCGCAAAGTTTTTGCCGAAGAATCGAGCAAGCCGATATTTAAAAACCGAACGTGGCTATTCACCGATGGGTCAAAATGCGAACACAACACCTCATTCGCATGTGTAGATCAGGATGGACACATCATTGCTGCCGGCCAACTACCAGACTACTACTCAACATTCTCAGCAGAGGCAGTAGCCATACATTCAGCTATAACCTACACCCAAAAGAGACGCGGAAGATTTGTGATTTGCAGCGATGGCCTTTCATCGCTAGAAGCAGTTCGAAATATTGAAAACAGAAATCCAACGACCTGCAACATAAGAGATTCATTAATACAGAGGCCCACGAAGCTGGTGCTGTTCTGGGTGCCCAGCCACAGCTAAGTTAACAGCAATATCTCCAACCTTAACGGTTATCCCAAAAGGACATAAGGAGAGCCCTTTCCATCTACCTAAATAACATCAGGATCGATGGCTGGGCATCCTTCCATCATGGGTACAAAAAAGTAAATCCCAACTTAGAGATGGTTCGGTACCTTGCAAAATGCAGCCGCGCCAAATCTACGCTCTTCGTTCGTCTCCGTACTGGACACTGCAAAGCCACACACAGCCACCTCCTCTCAGGTGAAGACCGGCCTAACTGCCAACTTTGTGGACAAATCCTGTCCACCACCCACTTATTAGACGCCTGCCCAAGATTAGCAAGTATTAGGAAACGCCATTTCCCAAATTCCCTTCCATCATCCCATCTCGAAATATCCATCCCCAATATTAATAAAATCTATAAATTTTTCAAAGAATGCAACTACAGTAGAATCCGCTTATAGCGACTTTTAAGGGACCGACGATTTTTCGTCGTTACACCCGGAAGACGCACTAAGCAGAAGGATTTAAGTGTATAAGTCTGTCTAGGGACCAATCAAGCCATGGAGTTTTCGTCGCAAAAAACCGGACGGACACTATAAGCGGAGTCGTTATAACAGGATTCTACTGTACTTTTAAATTTAAAATGTACCTAATCATTTTATTTCTGTTATTTCTATATAGATTTTTCGATCTTTCCTATGGCAGCTATATGACATAGTACTCTGATTTTTATGAAATTTTTTTTCTCGATTTAAGTATATTTAAAAAATTTGATGTTCCAAAAGCATGCTCCGGAAATTAAAAACTACGACGTTATAATTTTTTCCATTATTTATATACGAGGTGTGTTCAAAAAGTATCGCGAATTTAGAATTTTTGAGGGTTACCTCGTATCGAATTTCGATTTTTTTTATTTTTATTTAAAAGTTCACTTAATTGTTGACAGCTGCTTTGCTTGCACGTGTTTTGGATCGTCTTCGATCCTGTATCAAATTTTGTGTGAAAAACGAAATTAAGTGCGTGGATGCATTCCGAATTTTTGTCTGTGGCATACGGAGAAGCTACCTTGGACCGAAGCAACGTTTATCGGTGGTACAAAATGTTCTTAGAAGGCCGAGAAGATGTGAACGACGAAGAGCTTTTCGGACTTCCGTGCACTTCAATGTGAAAGTTTTGATGAAAGTTTTCTTCGATTGCAGGGGCGTGGTGCATCATGAGTTCATGCCACAGGGAAGAACGGTCAATAAGGAATATAACCTTAAGTTATGCGCAATTTGCGCGAAGCAATCCGCCAGAAACGCCATGATTTGTGGAAGAACAAAAATTGGCTTTTGCACCACGATAACGCCCCTGCTCACACATCGTTGCTTGTGCGCGTCTTTTTGGCCAAAAACACACTAATGATGCCGCAGCCACCGTATTCCCCAGATCTGGCCCCCTGTGACTTTTTCTTGTTTCCTAAACTGAAGAGGCCCATGAAAGGACGACGTTACACTACGCTTGACGAGATAAAGATGACATCGAAGGAGGAGCTGAATAAGATTTAAAAAAAAATGATTTTTTGAACTGCTTCGAAGATTGGAAAAACCGTTGGTACAAGTGCGTAATATCTCATGGGGATTACTTTGAAGGGGACAAAATAGGTATTCATGAATAAATAAAACGTTCTTGAAAAAAACACAAAATTCGCGATTCTTTTTGAACACACCTCGAATATTTTTTGATCTCTCCTATGGTAGCTATATGAAAGAATTATATGATTTTGATCAAATTTAATCCGAAATTCAATAGCAGTTAGAAAATGCCATCTAGAAGATATCAAAAACAGCTCCCTGAGACAGACAGACAGACAGACGGACAGACGAACAGACGAACAGACGGACAGACGTACAGACGTATTTGGATTCTGATCGTGATGCTGATCAAGAATATACAATATATACTTTATGGGGTCTGAGGTGTCTCCTTAACTGCGTTGCAAACTTCTGACAGAAATTATGATACCCTTTGCCCTGCAAGCGTATAAAATACTTTGAATCGATTTTCCGAAAACGTTATTTTGAAAGTCAGTGAACATCAGAACTCAAAGTCTAATAAACCGATCCTTTTCAAATTTTTAACACAAATGCTCCACATAACTACGCAGGTAATCCAGTAGAGTTTTTTTTTTCATTTTTAATATTTTTCTATTTTTAAAAAATAAATTAGCAGCGATTTTTGGAGCAAAAATCGCATTTTCACTTCCAAGTGCTGCCAAAAATAGAAAAAAATTTTTGTTAAAACTCTTCCTTATTACCTTGGGGAATTCATTATCTTTACAACGCATACCACTTTAGGCTTATTTAAAAATATTTTTTAACACTCTTCAAAAGTTAACCAATAACATGTAATTGTGCTTACTGAGTGCTTACTGAGAAGCGTTTTAACTTGTTTTCATACAAGTTTTTGTCTATTAGACAAGTTTCCGTTGTATTAAAAGTATAAAATTGTTTGAAACTTCATTCATGCTGGGCTCTTATATTGGAAGTATTTCATTCAAGCCTCTTTCTTCTTCAGTTTGCCAAGCAGGTCGTCTCTAATTTGCACCGAAAGAAGATTGGACACAAGCGTATGCTGGTTAGTTATACTCGTGACTCCTCTTTGACTGAGGTTAACACCCTCCGTTGCCAAGTTGCGGGTCTGCTAAAGGTAAGCTTAAATGCTTTTCTCCAATCTCTATTAAAAAATGTAACATTTTAGGATGTTCCTTACTTTACCCTGCCCATGTATAAGTTCAGAGAACTTTTTCAGTCGCGTTTCAAAACCTCGATCAGCGTATTGGATTTGTACAAAATGCATGATATATGTACTATAAATTCAGACAAAAATGAGGATAAATTTATAAGCCTAAGGCCGGAAATAATAAATAGCCTCGAAAGCTCACCGTTAATGGAAGGACTACAGCACAGTGTGCCTTACTGTAGTATTCATCTAAAAAGAGACCAGCATAAGGGTTGGGCCGAACAGGAGATCGAGCCACTTCCAAATGTATATATGACTATTTCGGAAATCCAAAAACTAATATATCCCTTACTCAAAGATCATCCAGGAGACATTCCAGTAGCTACGCTTCTTCACTGCATTGAAGGTCAGCTAAAGGCATCGATATTGCCAAACGATAGAGGGGTCAACTTAGAACATTTGATCTGCTGTGTTCAGGGAATTCAAATTCAAATAAACAACTTCGGCGTAAAAATTCTCGGATGGTTAGAGCTTAACAAGGAATTTTCGAAGACAGGACCTGAAGGTGACATATCAAGTTCATATACCTTGTCCGTCAATGATCGTGCAAGTAGCTTGGGTGGAAGCTACTTTAAAACTTCTGTAGCCGATCCTCTCTTTCAAATATCACGCGAAGTCATAGAACTGGTAAAAATGTCTCCGAAGTCTACAATGAAATTTAACCGTTTCATTCCTGCCTATCACAATCATTATGGAAAACAATGCAGAGTTGCAGACTACGGCTACACAAAGCTTATCGAGCTTTTTGAGGCCTTATCTTCTGTTGTGCAAATTATGGGAGATGGTGAAAATCGGCAGATTACGCTGACCCACCGAACTCAAATTCGAAGGTTCACCTCAGATCTATTACGCGTTTTGCGCGCTCAAGGTAACAATTCAGTGCTACTCTCCCAGTTACCAGGAATATTTGCACAGACCCAAAATCGTAGTTTCGACGTCACGGACTATGGTGTGTGCAACATTATAGATATCTTAGATGGGCTAGTTAATTCAAACATTGTAGTTCTCACCACTGTACAGCACGGAAAAGATATTCTTATCTCAATGCCGAAACGTAAACAGACAAGCTCTGAAATGGAAAAAACCTGTGTTTTCGCCGGTGAAATGGTAGAGCTATTGCAGAACGCCCTCCAGTACACTATATTATTTCAAAAGTTTGTACGGTCCTACCATTACCACTTTGCCTACCAATGCCGTCTCAGTGACTACGGATTTCTTAAGCTGGCAGACCTTATGGATGCAATTCATGGATTAGTCGACTTGCAGGTAAACAATGACGAGGACAAGAAAATAGTGCTCTCACCCAAAGTGGCCAGACGAGTGTTCGCTGAGCAATGTGAGGACCTCATACGCCATGTCACTGGAAACTCAAAACACTGCATGAAGTTGGACCAGGTGCTCAGGCTGCACAAAAAGAAGTACGGATATCAAATTAAGCCACAGACCTTAGGGGCGTCTGATATGTGTACGGCATTTGAATTGTTGCCCTACGTTGAATTAAAGCAAAAAGATAAGACCATTTGGCTCATCTGCCACCATAATGACGAAGAATTTCGAGTTCTTTGTTACGACATATGCAAGCATCTTTTTCAACGAGCCGCATTCGACTCTCCTTCGGCAACAATTACCTGTGATGCCGAATCAGCAGCTCACTCCCTACCCTTACCAGAAGCATACCATAAAACTACATTTTTAAGCGAATACAATGCTAGGCACAATATCCACCTTACAGAGCCTGTTCTCTTAGCCATGCGACATGCAATTGAGGTGAATAATGGGCTTTTATTTACAATTCAACAACTAACCTCCTTTTTGTTGTTTAGATTTATAATGATGCCGGCGTACAGTGTATTCGACCTACCGCTTTCATGAGGTTCTTAATAAAAATTGTTCAAGTGCTAGAACAGCGCACCAGCATGTACTTGTACGAAATCAAGATCTCCTTAGATATTGGGCTTACCACTACCTTTGAGTTTGGATTTCCCAATCTGTATTCTGTGATTGCAGCTTATCAAGATCTTTTCACTCTTAACAATGGACCAACGCAGGAAAGAAGTGAAGTTTCCCTTACGGTAAACTGCATGCGTAAGTACTAACACATACCCTAAAAATGTAACTAACTGAAATCATTTTTGATTTTGACATTTCCACAGTGCGTCAGAGTTCCGTAATACACTGTAGAGTTACACAACCCACCAACCAAATGTTACATGACAGTTGTCAAACTATTCACAATAATGTAACATATACTCGTCCTCTGGCTAAGCGCCTAGGAATAACCAACAGTTATTCAAGTAACGCCAATCCTCTTTGCAATTTTGATCGTCAAGGAAACATGTTTCCAGCTTACTTTGGAAATAATGGTGACTTAATTCAGCCACAGAGAATTAACTCATCATTGCTAAATAGTTGTGGGAAAACTGTTGGAAAAAATGTTGCTGTAAGGAACACTCAGGCATTAACACATCGGTTCAAATATTTGACGGTTCGTTCAACTCGTCAGGCGAACTAAACGCCAGTCTAGTTCTAAGCGATCTAACGAATATATCATCGAGCACTGCCATCACAGCTGATATTTCACTTGAACAATCGTCATCCAAGTTGTGGTGTAGACGTCAACCAGGCTTTAATGAGCAGTCAAATAACCAAACACCTAAACCGGATACGTGCACAAAAGAGGTAAAAAAAGGAAAACAAATTAATATAAATACTAACCTGTATTTACAGAAATTACCTTTCTGGATCGATCCTATTTGGACCGCACGATCGGAACACCAAACGGAGAACATTAAAATTGCCGAACTTAAGGCGAAGAATATCTTTCCAATGCTTCTTTCCCCATATACTATTTCTAAAAATGAGAATTTAAGGCGCCAGCTTTTTCATTTTGATAATCATGATCGTAAAATAGCATAATAAAAATACAATTTTTTAATGTTTCTTTACTTATACATTATGCTATAATAGCAACAAAAAAATCAAATAAAATAAATACCCAAATAAGAGGTCCTAAATAAAATAGACTTATTGATATTATAACGCCTTTCGATTTATTCCTGTTGAGCAGATTGTTGGGTCAGTAAGCTTTTTTACCAACCATTACCTTGTGCCCAAGTAAATAAAAAATCGCACGAATTTTAGCTTAAAATTGCACTTATTTATTAATTGGCACCAGGCCTGAAATTCATAAAGTTCTTGTTTGTTGGTTTGAATTAGGCAGGCAGACCGAATTGTCTGTGCCTTTTTTCAGCGAAAAGGTATTGCAGCAGGCAGACCGATTTGTCTGTGCCTTTAGCGAAAGTATATAGACGCGAGAGATTTTAACAAGCGATCAGCGTTCGTGCCTTCTTGTAAGCGAGTACGAAATCGAATTACATGAAGCTTGCCGTGGACGAAGGGCCAGGCAGCGATAAGCGAAAAAGTGCAAAAAAGGTAGTTAGCAATGACAATCAAAACAGTGTTGCCGCGCAGGGCAAATAGCAAAACAAAGCAAACATCAAGAGTTTAGTTTTACGTTACGATTTAAATATAATCATTGGATTTGGGCTGTGGCATGACCAAACATCCTCCCCCGTTGAAAGACCAGGGCTTTCAACCAGATCCAGCTTCGGAAGCACGCACAGCTTGGGTACAGCCCTTCGAGTGATTCGAGCCACACGAGCAACTCCATCGGATCCAGACACAATTTCCATGACGCTGGCTAAAGGCCATTGAAGCGGAGGCAACGTGGAGACGACCTCGTCGATTTGTAGCGCAGGTTTGGGAGTGCGCCACCTATGTCGTTGCTGCCAACATTGAAGACGCATGTAAGCGAGCAGCGCTGGCGGACCAGAATGCATGCTCTTCCGATGCAAGTCCAGTGTAGGATGCTGCGCATTGCGATTCTCGAGACGAAACGCTGGGCTGGTGAACCAAAGGGCAGGTTCCAGAAGCTCTCTCGGGGAAGTTTCTATTATCAAGATGTCGGCTGGATTGCAGTCAGTCGGTATATTTATGCCACTGGATAGCTCTTTAATTAAAGATACTTGATTAGTAACAAATACTTGAAATCGTAAGGGTTCATAGCTTATCGATGATAACGCTTCAGCAGAAACGAAGAGCTTCATGTTGCGTACGTCCCGCATCAGTTGCGCTAGTAGCAAGGCAGTGCAGAACTCCAATTTGGAAACCGTGAGAGTCTTCCAAGGTGCCACACGAGACTTTGAAAAAAGTAGATGCACCTCTCGTTCGCCATCAGCTGTTGGATCCAACGCACGTTGAAGAGACTTCATTTGATGGGTACGACCCATGTCAGATGGCAACAGGACAACAGAAAAGCTCTTATCCCACTCCAACTTTTCTCTCCAGACTTGTTGCAGGAAGATTTTGGCCTTGGCAGATGGCTTTGGAGAGACCTGTATGGAAGAAAGGGAAAAACGAAAAACATCCGCTACAGGGTCCCAGGCAAGACCGAGCGTCTTGTCGCTGCCATCGTAAATCTTCAGGAATGTTTCCTTTTCCAAGTCAGGAATTTGATCACGGACGTCGTTGATTTCGAGGACCTCCTGTGATGATTGCCCTTCTATGATCAGATCGTCAACGTCATCCATGCGAGCAGAAATCAATTTACGATGCACAGCTTGATCCTGTAATCCAGTTGCCTCTATAGAAGAAGATCCACCTCCTGTTACGATCCAACCAAGCCTCGAATTCTGTAATAGGGGTAACCCAGCAGCTAACTTAATCTGCCCTACGGATAATAGTTCAAAAAACATGCTTGCGCCAATGAGAAGATCAATATTCTGAGATTTATAAAATTCAGGATCGGCCAACTGAACACTGGAGGGAATTTTCCAGCCATCGGGCTTAACGTTCGAACTGGGTTGACTTTCGGTAATCGCTGGAGCAACAAGCGCAGTTAGGGATGTGGAGTAATTGGAGGTATGCGACTTTAACGTGATGCAAACAGAAACTCCTTCAGAGTCCAAGCGAGCATTTCCAAGTCCAGCAACTGATACGGTTGACTTCGATTTAGGCAATTGCAATTGGTCAGCTAGTCGGGAGGTCACAACGTGGACTTGTGATCCCGAGTCTAGCAGCGCACGGCATGGGATCCAAGCACCTGATTGACTTTGAATGCTCATGACTGCAGTTGGAAGAAATACTGTATCAGAATCCACATTCTGAACCAGCAAAGAGGTAGCAGGGCTAGAAACGATTGCGTTTGACGTACTTGGTTCCGCCACGGGAGCTCGCTGAACCTCGGTCGAAGGCTGAGAGCCAAGGTGTAAAAGGCTGTGATGCTTGGAGCCGCAAATTCGGCAACAACCTGACCGACAATTGCGCATCTGATGCCCCTTCTTCAAGCAATTGAGACACAGCGCCAATCCCTTTGCCCTTTGAATGCGCTCTTGTATTGATAGACTGGAGAATTGATCACAGTTGTAAATAGAATGATCACTGTTGTCACACACAGCACATGCATGTCCGGAAGTGTTGGTGGCAATTAAAATACTTCTGCTGTGAGTGTTTCTTGATGGTGAACAATTCGAATACAAAGCTGCAGTGTGCTCTATGTTCTCCAGTTTTTGACAACGCTTTGACAGAAATGTAGTAAAATGACCAATCGAAGGAATTTCATCAATCGCTGCAGATTCTTCCCAATTGGCCTGAGTTTGGCTATCTAATTTCTGGAGTAAGACATGTATAATCACGCAGTTCGAAATTTGCTCCACCGAACCCATAGACTGGAGAGCACGTAGATTTGCGTTAATTTTGTCAGACATTTCTCTCAGCTTCGTGGCACACTGCATGTCGACTTTGGGGAGACTCAAGATTGCGTTAATATGGGATTGGAAAATGAGACGCTTGTTATTGAACCGGTTGTTCAATAATTCCCAGGCCACAGCATAATTAATATCGCAAATTTCCAAAGACCGAACTGTGTCCAAGGCGGAACCCTTCAAGCACGACTTGAGATGCTGCAGCTTCTCAATGTTGGATAGCTCAACATCGTTGTCGATAATGGCCTTGAACATTGACTGAAATTCCGCAAATTCGGTATAGCCCCCAGAAAAATCAGGCAGTCTCAATTCGGGCAAATGAGATCTCCTAGCCGCTGACATGGAATGGAAATCCATGGAGGGCTCTGGCCTGAGTGTGGAGCTGCGAATTGCCGGACCCTTTCGCTTACCCATTTCGCGATTCAACCTGATTTTTGCAGATATGACCAGCTCCTCAAAGTCATCTCGAACCATGCTTCCGATTTCGTCAAAGTCCAGCTCCTCAAGTCTGTCATGGATTTGAAGAAATGCGGTCTTGCTCTCGTCCAGGGCTTGAACACGAAGTTGCAGTTCTTCCTCGGTCATATTCTGAAGCATCTCGTTGGTCAGGGTCTTCTCGAAGGCTTTAGCTTTCGAAAGCATTGAGCCAGCCTTTAATTTATAAAATTTTGCTCCCGCAACTGGAGCAGCAACCGCTGTGTCAGTCGACATGTTGTTGATATGTGGGTTTATATCTTTTAAAATTAGTCACTTGCAAACTGATATCGTCCCACTGTGCACTGATTAGCGCCAAAAATGTGCGTCTATTTAAATATATATATATATAGATATATATAGGCACTGAACCCGCGAACAAAACGTTTGTCGCCGCTGTAAAAACGTTTAAAGCGGGAACGACGGCACAAAAGAAAACGAAATGCACTTTACAATGCGCGGGGGCGGGTGTGTGCGAGGGTTTAGCGAAGCTTATGTTGCGCTTATGTTCTGCTGAAGTTATTGATATGCACGATCACCAACTTTTAAACCGAACGAAAATAATAAGATTATTTGTTCGATTTTCGAATTTTTATTGTTTAACGATCACGTCGGGGTCACCAAGATGTTGGGTCAGTAAGCTTTTTTACCAACCATTACCTTGTGCCCAAGTAAATAAAAATCGCACGAATTTTAGCTTAAAATTGCACTTATTTATTAATTGGCACCAGGCCTGAAATTCATAAAGTTCTTGTTTGTTGGTTTGAATTAGGCAGGCAGACCGAATTGTCTGTGCCTTTTTTCAGCGAAAAGGTATTGCAGCAGGCAGACCGATTTGTCTGTGCCTTTAGCGAAAGTATATAGACGCGAGAGATTTTAACAAGCGATCAGCGTTCGTGCCTTCTTGTAAGCGAGTACGAAATCGAATTACATGAAGCTTGCCGTGGACGAAGGGCCAGGCAGCGATAAGCGAAAAAGTGCAAAAAAGGTAGTTAGCAATGACAATCAAAACAGTGTTGCCGCGCAGGGCAAATAGCAAAACAAAGCAAACATCAAGAGTTTAGTTTTACGTTACGATTTAAATATAATCATTGGATTTGGGCTGTGGCATGACCAAACACAGATAGTAAGCCTAGAATTAATACATTCATTCTAAACTATTTTATTTAAAAAAAAAAATATTACTTTTGAGATTCTAGTGCTCCCAATGTCTAACACCAAATACTCTAATAAAAACTTTCCTTAAAATGAAAAATTGCAAAAAAAAAAAAGCCGCTGGTTTTTATTTAGATGAATGCGCATAATAGACTACACCATTTAAACTTGGGGTGCCAAAGAATTTCAAGCTTTGGTTGTTACAATTTGTAATGGTATGGGTAAATAAAATAATCCACGCTAGTTTGCCCCACCTTCTGGGCACCGTTTTATCCGTAAAGATAAAGTGGTACGGTTCTGATCATCGTATCTGTAATGGTAAAATGGTACGGGTGGAAATCGTTCTCTCCACGCCCTCGGTTGGAGAGGAAATTTAACGCTTAGCTGGTATTGGGGTCGGGATTTTTCCTATCCTATGTTCTCCTTTAACTCACCACATAATAAAAATAATGTGCACTTACGGACTCTACTCTAATCCATACAAAAATAACCAAAGATATCAGCATAATGATCCTTAACGATATAGTTGATAGGAGGAGGCAAGCAAACACGATTTGTGGTAATCTTAGTTGAAATTGATCACCCATTCTGAACCCACCCTACCATGGTAATAATGTGAATGTTAGGC